ATGAACACTCTTTTATCAAGATTTAATCTCAATTGGAAGTCTTGATAAATTGTGAAACTTTATGATGTTTAAATGGAACCTCAATATTAAGGTGATGATGCATGTTCGCCTTACAAATTCCTTACAAATTTGATTTTCAAATTTATGAAATGTGATATAAATCATACTTTTCAAAAATATAAAATCAAGAACATATCCTCCGATATATTAATCAAGTCTGCTGTAAGACTTGTCTTGCTTTGGATACTTTTAGAAGGTAGCCACTGCCAGACTACTGTACAGTATATCCCCAAGGCAAACATTCACACTGAAAATGAGCTTTAATGTTTCTTTGTAACTCATAAATAAATTGTACAGTATACCTACTGCATAGACATAAAACTGCATTAATTACAGTCCAGTTTTTACATTGGCCAAATAACATATTAGGGTTTCAGCACAATTAATACAAATGGTGCAACACTGGCAGAATATAACAAACTCAAATGATTACCTACTGTAGGAGAAGAGACAGAATTCTCCAGGGTAAATGGTGTCACTGAACTTTATTTTAGCACTAACATAAGTACTTGAGAAACAGGAACTAAGACTTGGTATGGATTTACAAAATAATCTGTGCTTTCTGTAAGAATACCTGTTTTATTTCTTTCATCCTAATTTTTGCATGTAAATGTTTAGAAAAATAATGTATACAGACTCAAGATCACTGTTTAAAATAGGTTTGAAGTCATTTTGATTAATTGATCGTTCATGACTGACAATAATACACTTAAGTAACTTCGTTGCATTAGCACTATATTACCAAATAAGGAACAGATTTGATTGAGAACATATGATTTAACCTGTTGATTGTCAAGCCTGATGAAAATCAAGAATGAAAAACGCAAAGAAATTATTATGCCCGTCTTATCAGGACGATGTATTTCTGTCATTGGTACAGTATGATGGACTAAACGTACAATTTCATTTGCTGTCTGAGGTGTTCACAATCCGCATTTTCTTCATGACAAGATGTTACAGCCAAACATAATCATAGCTCTGAAGAGTAAAAATATCCTGCTTCCATGTACTGCTCTTTTAGGACTCTAGGTCTCTGTACTGCATAGACATGACACTTGGACAAAAGCACGGACAAAAGTTGGACCCAGGGTTCAACTTACAGTACCTATTTTAACTGCATCAGGCCAGAGGGGGGATGCATTTCATTCATGGTCATGGACTGTACTTACATAATAAGAAAGGAGTGTACTGCTGGACAAACACCCCTGTGGAGGAAGCAAGGACTGATACTCCTTAGAGCACAAGGAATTATTTTTTCATCTGCTAACATCATGTGTAAATGAAGTACAGTATAATGGCAATCTCGCAGCAAACAGTGTAAGTAAGCAGAAGTTTCTCTTTATTACTTAGAACTTTCAAAACTTTTTTCCCATATTTTTAACTTTACATATGCCCATATGAACAGAGAAATTGTGTGAGCTGCTCTTCATCAATACAAATTTCAACATGTTTTTGTGTGTGTAAAATACTTCAGTTGTGGGATTTTTCGGACAAAAATGTCAGATCCTATATATTTATATACAAGTGTGGCCATTTTACAATTTGAGTTTCAAGACACACATGGAACTAAAAAAATGAAAAAACAAAAACTGAAACATTAAAAATGCAGAACAATAACAAAAGAAGTGTAAATATACAAATATAACTCAGTCATTCTCCCATATACAAGACTTCAAAGTGACACATTTTACAGGCTAAACTTGAATTTCCATTAATCAGTGCAATAGATTGCAAACGTTTACAATAATATATAAAAAAAAACATTCTAGTGTATTTATACAGGCGGGTGAGCTTAAGTGCAACTTAAGCTAAAGTGAAATGATTGTGGGACTGATACTTTTCAGGTAACTGAAATCCTGTCAGCACCTTTAAAACAGCTTAACAATGAAGGAAAAATCAGAAGGATCTGGTTTGAATGATCTCAGGTTAGAAATGTTTTATTTTGGACCTTTGTACAATGCATCTCTAATAAAACTAGTTTATCAGCAAAACTCTAATTAAAAAAGAAGACTTAAAAATGTTTTTTTATGAACTTAACATTTGATTTGCAGTGGAATAAACTTGTTCATAGATGTAAAATACAATCTTTAAAACATACCATGGAGCATGAAAGTTTGGGAAGTTGTCTGAGCACACTTAGGGTAGATGAATCTTAACTCAAGCACTCATGGAACAGTCCTTCCTCGTGCTTATTTACTGTACAGAGTAACAGTTGTGTGCATCATAGTTAATATTGAGCTCTGCCATGCATATCATTACCTACTCTTTCACATTATTGCTCTTTTAAATTTCCTTAAGCCAGGACACAAAGACACCTGTATTGTAGTAAAGATTTAGAGTCTAATGAGATAAGCAGAAATATATGCACACTTACAGTACATGTACTATACATATACATGTGGATTAATCCAGCAATGAATGAAAACAACTGGATCTTTACTTACTCAAAAGAAGCAGAAAACACAGCCTATCATTATTTCTACATACTACTCATCACAATTTATAGGACAATGAGCCATAGACCCCATAAGTTGATTTCACATGCAGATCATTGCAGTGCTGTTTTAAGATGTCCACTTAAATCTTATGAAACTAGTGGTCAGATTCTTTCTGATTTTGGTAGTTCTTTGTTTCCTACAGAACCTAACATTTCAATACCTTATCCTATGAATTATAGCAATGCATATCCATAATTATGACTGATTCAGTATTCCCAAAATAAGGTTAAGTCAGAATAGTAGGCCTTTTATATTGCTGAATATGAATATTCTGTCAAAACCAGCTGGTTTGCTGTGATTAACTGATAATTCATTCAATCACAAAATTACAGTAAGTAGTAAGGTCTGTACTGGGATCAGCTGGAAGGTCTGTTGTTTTGAGTAGGCCATCCCTGTTTCAACATCAATGTTGCATCATCTCAGGAGATCCAAGACTGGAAATGGTTCTCTGTTCACTGTTACATATCATCTAACAAACCTACTCCACAGTGGCCTGACCAATGAACAGAACTGTCAAGTTCAGTATCTATGCACACTTGGTCATTAAAGTTATGGGAAGTAGAGGAAAGTGGAATGGGCTGAATCTATTTTCAGAGTCATGAGAAGAAAAGAATAGGACTTTCAAACTACAGAGACTTTCAAGTTTGGTAATGAAATCATTCACAAAAAAAGTGTATTAAACTTTTTTTTCCCTTTACTATCAAGTTCTGTGGGAGCAAAGATAAATATGGTGAAGAATTCTGGATTAGCCTATTCCTTGTGATTATTATAATGTATAATGTCATTTTAATTCAAAATATTTAACACAGTGTTAAACAGTTGGATAGGAAGACATCTGTAAATGTACAAAAAGCCTTACTCAGCAAGAGAAAAATGACAGAATAGCTTGAAAACCATGCTTCAGAAACAGGGCATTTCATTCCTACACAAATAAATCCAAAATCTTCTAGTGGTTCATTTTATGTTCTTTCAACTAGTTAATTAAAAAGCTGTGATAATTTATATTGAGAGGTAGTAACACAGGATGCTTATACATGAGATTCAAGTTAATACATTTAATTTGTCTTTTATCGTAGGTCTCTGAAAAATATTGCCTCTATTTCTGAATTTTGGTTCTGAGCCGTCTTTTACAAATATTGGTAGAATGAACAACAGAACGAGTACAGGAGAAAAGAAAAAATTAAATACACAACAGAATCTTGAAAAAGTGTGACCTTTTCACACACTTTCCACTGCAAAGACTCCACTGACCTACACGTAGAATTAAATCTGAGCCCATTCTGTAAAAACTATGATAATGTTGTTATTCTCACGGTTTAAGTGCAACAAAGAACATACTTCCCTAATACTTTTTGCCTTTTAACTTTCAGAGGTTCTGTAAAAATATGTTTATCTGCTCAAACAGAAATGTTTGTGGTAAAAAAAAATGTCCTCTGGTATAACACTAATCAATATATCAAAAAGTGTTTATTACATTTTAATATATCTAATCCAAATATAAGTGTTCCTCAAAACTAAACAGAGCTTACAAGACAACTTCCAATCAAATCGAATTAGAACCATTTTGCATCTTTCTATTTACAGTAGGATGATAAGCACAAAGTATAAATCTCTAATATTCTGATATAAGATTAATATTAATCGAGGTCATACATGAAAAGGGGGGTTTGCTCATACCTGTGCATAGACAGCACTGTAGATTGCCTAGGGTCTTCCCATGCCATCTCAACTACATTATATAATATGACTAATATTTTTTAACTTTGACACAGTTTGGCAATGCCCTGGCACTGCCGTGGCAATGAGCTGGTATGGAATGGCCCAATTGCAAAGTAACAGTAGACAGTGAGACCTGGATTCTGCCAAGGTAGCACCCATATTTGAGAAAAACTCCCAACTACGATCTTACTGTAGGTTCAAGTTTTCTCACTTCATTTCCTGATTGTAATAATATGTGTGAATGAATATCTGAGGGACAATACCACAACACAAGACTGTTAAAGTCACTGTGCACCCTTTGAAGTTTTCTACCATGGCAATTTTTGTCTCTCCAAATATGACATTTGAATCTATATTACTCATGCTTAAAAATGCAGAATGTATTAAAGGACATGATTTTCATCAAAAAAGAAGTGAAAGTACTTAAATGAGATTAACATTTCAGACACCTATGCAACAGTTTAAGTGACTTTTTTCTAAATGTAGTAAATATTATTTTCTAGATACTATGAGACAGACAGCACCATTTTTATATTATCCAATGTAATTATTTAATATTAATTGAATTTGGTTGACTTTATGTCCTTCTGGTGCAGTGTTTTTATTTCTGTCTTTTGTTAAGGAATTATTCTATTTAAAATATGAGGTAAGATAAAGACTGAGCTACAGTATTTCCAAAAAAAACACAAGTAACTTATGCAGCAACCAAGAAAAAAATTAAACAATTACAGAGCTATGGCAGCCATCGTTTTCTCTTCTCTCTCTCAATTACATGAGGTATTTTTTACAAATATTCCAGTATTACTCCTGTAATCTAGCCCAATACCCACATCCATGACCATTTTCCATGTATGGTATGAAGAAACCTCTTCAGCCTAAATGGCGATGACTCGATCCATTCATTTGGAATAACTAAAATGAGTCCGATTGTGCGCTGTATGAAATACCACATAGAAACATTCATAACAATCCATTTGCTGCACTTTAGCAAAACTGATTACCAAATTAATAATTATTTAAAAGTGATACTTTGAATCTTTCTGGTCTTTTTCTAGCATATTACCTGGTACCAAAATAAAACTAATTTCAAAGGTATGATCAAGCAAAATAGAGCAGGTTACTTCTCCTTCTATCCAAACATTCAGGTACTGTATATTTAGGGTTTATGATATGTACAGTTCTTTAGAGTAAAAACCTTATTTTATTATATTCTTTAAAACCATAATAATAAACTAGGACATACGGGTTTATCATCATCAGATATGACACTACTAGGGCATGCATTGGAATGCCTCTGTAAACAATTGAAAATAGCATAATACCTTTGTGAATTAAAAAAATGGTTTTCATATTTCACATTTAACTCTACACACAACACCCATATGGAGAAGGTAATATTTTAAGTATACACTTACACTTTACATTAAGCATGTAATTACTTAAGTACTTGTGTACTTACATATAATTACAATGTTACCATACATAGTTTTATTATAAATAATGTATCATTTTGGTGGCATATGCAAGCATACTACTGTCATGATTATTTTATATTAAACTACAGATTATGAGCTAAAGTTGCTCATACTGGTAAAATAGTATGACTTTGTAACCATGTGAAATACCATTGTAATTATGAATAAGTACATATACATTTACTAAGTAATTACTATGTAAATACTCTGCAGCTAGAGACAGAATGTAAAGTGTTACCCACATGCCTTTGTGCCAGTAGTATGCAGCAGCATCCAATAGTGACTAAACCAGCATCAGCTGCTATTCAACGAACTGAGCTAACAAACACAGCTGTTGGCTCTCTTAAAACACTATTATTTTCTATTGCTACATTTTACAAACACAGCCAATGTTGTATAAAAACGTGAATCCAACAGATGGTCTGAGCTATAGAAGAATGAATGCCGTGTAGTGAACTGACTCAAATGGCCATCATCACTGAGACTCATGAAGGTGAAGAACATTGGAGCTGTTCTCCAGGTATAAGATGCACTGGATCCTTACGCATCTCTCAAACTGGCTGCCACCCCAATGATCACAAATCTACACAAAGTGAAGGTGAGCTCAAGCAAATTAAACTCAAGGACAGAGAAAGCACTGGATCTGCAATTGTACTGGGCTTTTCCCCAACCTTCCTAATGTTAAGTAACACTTCCCAGCCCCCTGCTCCAACAACAATATGTGAATCATCTATGCGGTACCTCTTCTTATTACCACAAAGCCAAATGGAAAATTCAAATACACTCTAATTTTAAAACAAGCATACTTGCTGAAACATCTATGGCCTAATTCATTTAATTGTTGAACATAATTTTAGGATACAATTCCTTTTTGTAGTTGTTTCAATAAACAAGATGAGGTGACTCTATGCCAGATATTGCAGCACGATACAAGATCTGCTGGTTTGATTTGTTTGTAGTTAAAATCCGCTTCACACGAGGTCTTGCTGAAAGCCAATTTCAAAGGAAGGGTGGTGGTTGACGTGCTGTTCCTGAACACTACTGGGTTTAAGCATGAAAAAACCAAAGGCATGTCGTTACCTAACAGAATGTCCTCATTGGCCTCTTCAAAAACAAGAGGCTGTGGTTATGACTTTTCTGTGTCCAAAGCCATAAAAAAGAACACAAATGACACACTGTACAAGTGCATTTTGTCCACTTGCTCAAACACAAGTCCCTTGGTGTGCAGGCGGGGGCTGTTTCCGATTCTTTAATCCCAAACTCTTCTCCTTGCATTCCATGGCCTTCTGCTGCGAAGTGTCTATGAGGGCACTGGCGATGGCGATACCTTAAGGGAAAAAAAAACAGCAGAAACAAGTGATTAAGTTCAAAAACAAAGACAATGGCAGTGGCCCTATACCATGTGTCTGAAAAATGAGTGGGATGATTTTAAAAAGGTTAAAGGTCAGTATATATCCCACTTGATTCGATAGATTATACATCATTCTCCTCTTCCGGTGTGGTTATCACTTCTCTAAAGAAGTTTGCAGATTTCTATAGTGTCGATTTTCTTATACTTCTGTGTGCAGCTGTATACAGCAATGAAATAGAACAGATCCAACTTCTGTTACAGAGTGTAGTAAAATCATGTTGTAACAAAACCATGTTCTCCTTTGTGCTATCTTTGGAAAACTTAACATTTTCACTTGATTCATATGATATATTATTCAGACGCAAAACTGGGGGTTCAAAAAATTAAACTGCATTTTTAATAAAGATTTAGGCAAATGATTGCTCTTCGTTATGAACTGTGCCTGTGCTGTTCAATTATATTATTTTTTTTAAAGGATTCTGAAGAGCCATTCTTGGGAAAAGAGCAGCAACACTAAAAGTCAAAGTTTAATGTCATAAAATTAATTACTTGTATTTTAAATGAACATTTCATGTTAAAAATAACTGCTTCCAGTAAAATTGTTTAGCCTATCCTTCCCTTTCATGTATAACATTGACATTTGATGAATAACATTTCAACATCAAGGTTATAGTTTACTTTTATTTTCAAATTAAACAGGGTAACATTATACCCTTGTGTACGCAACAATCTTCAATGACTAAAGATCACTTTCTTGTACTTCATTGTGTGGCTTTAACAATATCATTAGCCTTCCCTTCTTATTTTAAAGAGCAGAAATTCAGAGAAGTCATGCTACTTGACAATTTTGGATGTCATACTGAAAGAGAGCTAGCCTCCAGTCTCCTGGCAACACTGTTATAGGATGAATACATTTTAATGGTAAGTGTTCTTAAAGCCACAAGGTCAGAAGGTCTTATAACTCATAAATTAGTGAACTGAAACAATTATTCTATTAAAGAACTTACAAAAACTGCTTGACCATGGCCTTTGAAAACCTATATCTGAAAAACAATGCTGTAAGATAATATTACTGGAATAAAAACAAGAATAAGCTATTTTAGTTAAGAATAAACTAAAAACTAAAAATATATTACCATTCAAAAAGAAGTTGAGCATATACACATGTGTACATTGCATACACTGATATATAGTCTAAACATTTTTCTCATTTGTTTTATTGACTCATAAGAATATCCAGTTAAATACCTAAAGGTTTTGCAATGTGTATCAAGATATAATCAGATTTCAATTTCTTGTGTACATATCCATCTCGTATGAAAAGGGTACTGCAGTGTCAGAGATGCTGAACCAAATCTGTACGAGTAGCATATTTGCTGTCTGTCCGGCTAATGCAAGTACATTAATACACATTGAAACCAATTCTTATTAGTATGGAAAACCTATTGTATGTTTTGTTATCAAGCAATGCTTATTTATTCCCTGAAACTGCTGAAAAAGAAAGAGGTGCTGGTAACATTAGGTACTGACACAATGCTAAAAGCTTTGGAACCTGTTCCTGCTGTGTTAAAATTGAGGCTGCTTGAACGGTTCCTTCAGCGGTGTGAGGCTTTTAGCAGTAATTACAATGCAAGGCATATGTGTGAAAAAAGTGAAAATGGGAAAGCTGTTTTCTTCTTTTTCTTCTTAAAATGCCCACATAGTTGTGTGGTTCTTAGCCCCAACGGAGTGATGTCTTCAACAGTGTAAATGTCCTTGAAGGTCAGGGTGGAATCTAATTCTTTAACCCTTTCATTTTTAATCACAAACGTCTGACCTCAATACAGAAACCAAAGCCACAATATCTGAGCTCTAAGACTCGGTAATGACTTCAGGTTGCTTGAGGGAAAAGACTATCAAGATGGATGGTTTATGAATTCTCTTCTGGAATTCAGTTCTTTATAGGTGACCTCTAGACATTACATGTGTCTTTAAGGTTTGTAATCCCATGTCCCAGGACTTCTTCTAATAGCTTTCATCTTCTAAAGGAATTTCTTGCTTTATGATCCATGATGTCTACTGTTTGTCATATACAGTATATAAAAACCATGGGGTGGATGCAATCTACTGTACCAATTCACAAAAAAACTATGATCCATATTGGAAAAGGACAAGATCAGGAGGGAACATGGCAAAGTCAATGCAGTTGATTCCCAACCATTCAAAAAGTGTTCGATTAATCTTTTTCCAACCTCTTTAAAATTAAAACTGTCCTTTCAAAGTTAAATCAGCTTGACTGGATGCAATTCATGCTCCTTGCTATAAGACTCACACACACGGTGCACAAAGGTTTCTGTCAGACGTAGCGTAGCGTACCGAAGCGTGTTAGCATGCTGTTTGAGTTCTATTAAAACCGGGTCACCCCAGAAGATCATTTTTCAAACCGTCACACAAATCATCTTATGAAATACACTTATTGTGTTCTCCAGGCCCAGTACAGTTCCTTGTTATCAAAGCAATACAATTAACTGGAGGAACAATTCATTATTTCAGACTGCAGGTCTAAAGGAATTTCATTTACCGTGTCAAGATGATGCACAGATGCTCTAGGCAAGCCGAATTTACATCAGAGAAACATTTTAGATTAAAAAAGTAAGGCACTAGAAATATTTCTGGCCAGGTGTACCTCTGTGCAGCTTTGTGGGGTGGGGGGGCATGTCTTTGTGATTCTAAGCAGTTGAATACTATTCTACAGCTGTATGTACAGCATGCATTTGCTCCACCAGATAATAAAAGCATGTTATACATAGGTCAAGGAGATTTAACCATCCTAGTGGTGTGGAAATCATAATTTGATTGATCAAAAATATTTTCTGGTTTAATCCAATTCTGTGTAGCACAGATGGTTTTATTTAATAATCAAATAAGGATGCACGGGATTTAAATGGGAATAGTCTGTGGCCATATTAGTCTGTGGCTATATTAGCTAGCAGACAGCATTAGATATTACAGGCTATAATCAGATCTTGAGTCAGATTTGTTGGTTAGATACTTAACCACAACAAAGTAGGACAGTCACTAATGATAATCTATTGCTGGCTCAGTTTTTGTAACTACAGCTAGCTAATGAGGAGGGTTGGTACACAGCACAGGACAGGAAAACATTCAATAGAACAAAAATCAAAATAACTCTGCCAGTGCCTGTCTCAAAACACAGCATACTGTACACAGTGCATAAGGAAGCCTCATAACAAAATGTTTAGCACAGTAAGTACAGCAATCGACCTCTATTCTTTGAATATACACAAACTGCATAGTTATTGTTGGATTGTTAACAAATACCTTAGAAATTAAGACTACACTGTTGCTTATTGTTTGCTAGTTGTAGTTGTTTTATAAGAAAGCTTTGGATAAACCGTATCACTCTCAGAGATGGTATTTGTAGGAGCATACAATTTTTCTCTTCTCTCAGCAGTTTGTTTGCAAAAAACTGTTTTTTTTTAACAAAGACATTCAGGAAGGATTCCCCCCCAAAAAGTGTTATTTTGGCAAATTCCCAGAAATCAATGATTTTGAGGCTTAACTGTTTTGCACAACTGGTTTGCACAACATAGAGGACAGTGAGATCCTAGAGCTTTCTGGAGTAGAAAGGAATAGGAGCACAGAAAGAAATATTGTAATATAGAAATATAGTAACGGGTGTGTGCACACTACAGAAGACCTGAAATTAAAGGGGAACTGCAGTCTCAGTTTCTCAAACCGGTTATTAAATCTCGGTTACAAAATTAATTCATTGATGTAATAGAACAAATGTGCAAATTTTGAATTAAGCACAAAATCGTGAACTTTGTGAAAGTACTCTAAGTCACCAGGTTGTCGCAAACTTCCATTCTCATTCCCACGGATTGCAATGTGATGAGGCCCTTCCTGCTCACTAGTCATGGTAATGACTAATGTAATGCGATGCACAAGCAAATTAAGTACAGGTTGTGCACAGTTAACACGTAGTATTTGCTGGCAAACTGTCTTGAAGTCAAGTGCAATATTTCTATTGGATTAAAAGAGATGTACTGTATTCACAAGCCTACTCGTTTACAATGTAATAAGGCCGCTTCATGTCACCGGAAATTTTGTTACCTGGTTCTGAATCAGAATATGGCACTGTGCATACCTGGACAGTTTTGTGATAGAAATTGGAGGTCTTACTGTGTACCTTTAAATTGGTGGTTTGAAATGTACTTATCAGTTCTGATTCTGTCTAACCCTAAAATATAAAAATCACATTGCAGTTCCCCTTTAAGTTTTCAAATACTGTACATTCCAATGTATTTCAAATCTTATCCGAAGAGACATACAATTGCACCCATTTATACTGTTGGATATTTTACTGGGACAATTATGGGTGAATTACTTTGCTCAAGGCTAAAACACCAGTGTCTCACCTGGAATTTAAAACCACAACCTTACAAATACTGAACACAAAGTTGATTGTTGATTGCTCATACCTAAATGATAAAGTGCCAAGGCACCATGGTGTACACTCCTTCCAAAAAGAGAAAGATGGTGAAAGTGGGAGATTTGATTGTGAGAGGCAGACAAAGTGTAAGATGCATTAGTGACAAGGAAACCCTTTCTGGTTCTTGTCTGCCTGGTGCTCATGTACCATATCGTCCAGAAGTCCACATCCAGAAATTATCCAATTGTCATGTTCCCTATTGCAGCCAAAAGGCAGGACTTGCAGAACAATGGGTCTTGTTTTCTCTGACATACTACCCCTACTGCTGTTACATAGGCAGAAATTAAAATATTTAACAAATGATTGAAATCCTGGTTTAGAAAAAAAAAAAGTTTAGATTTATGATTAAGATTTATGAGGCACTTGGCTTTGTATTAGAAAAGATGGGACCTGCACAAGTAGAACTGTGAGGGATCAAATGCATAGGACAGTTGCATACAGTATGTAATGTTATTGGGAACTATTTAAACCATGGGCAACA